GCTCCTGGCCTTACTACTAGGAACAAGAAGCTACTAGGGGCTCCTGGAATCGCTTAGGAGCAAGGCAAGGACGCTATTCGGTGTGGATGCCATGGAGTTTCGCCCTTCGACATCGACGGCCATCCGTCCGCGAGGAGAATGGTGGGATGCCTCGGTCGATGGACGCTGGTTTTGAGGAAGAGACAGCTGAAGGGACGGACTGGCCTGGTATATACATACGCTGGTTCTGCTTTGGAACACAGGTCACGAGTTTTGCTTCTTGAATATCAGCGCGTGACTGGGAATATACGGCAATCGTCAATACTGCATGATATATACTTCCTTTTAAGGCGACATCAAAATGGATCCATGATATAGAGCTGATTTGAGGTCGATAGATGGAATATGTAAAATGTGTTGATAAAACTGTTGCAACAAATTCCAAGGCATGCAGTCAAGAAGGTACACAGCAATCCCATCTGGGTCAATGATTGTCTGATTTTGGTACCCATCTTCCCTGCTCCTCCTGCCTCATCAAGACCCGTTGACTCTGTGATGCTCCAGGTCAATGTGGCGTGGTGGGGACCAAGTTTCAACTGCCAGGCATCACCCTAGATCTCCAGCCGGGTCTCCCATACGTCTACTCAGTCTACTCTTCCGTCCATCTCCATCGCGATGGATGGACGAGTGATGGGACGTGATGTTTCATCGTGTTGTTGGAACCCAACTGGGGAGACCTGTCCATGCTTTTGGGGGGAAGTGTCTCTATCTGTCTTTCTATACATATATATATGAATATGTTTAAGTTTCTGCAGTATGGAAATGGTCCTTGTGGATCAGGTGCTTCTACAAAAGACATGAGATGCGGAACCAAATGTTGCAGCTCCAAGTCGATTGCTGTGCCGGATTTTAGATGACCCGTGTTCTGAAAAAAAAACTCAGATGCATACTTAGCACAATCATTTGTCTTGAAGAAGCGTGATCATCTGTGATAATCGCAGATAATCACAGGGTCTGTTTATCACATGATACTATGCGTGTTAAGGGTCTGGTGATCCACCTGCTTTCCTGGGTATGCTGTGGAACATCGAGGTCCGACCGCGTGGTGCTGCCAGTGCGGCGTCGGGAGCGCCCAAGCATTGGACATGATGGGTGCTGAAAAACACCCGCACAGTCATGATGCTGCACTGCTTGGCTACTCCTTTGTGTGTTTGTGTTTCTTTCTTTGTATAGAGGCTCAGCAGAGGAAGAGCACTGTTGTGACAAAGACAACGAGAAAGGATTATGGATTTGGGATGATGAAGCTGCTGGTGATGTATGACTGTATGATTGCAGGGTCCATAGGCAATGTTTTTGTTTGTTTCGTTCGAGGCTGGGATGTGGAAAAGATGGTGTGGACTGCAGAACAGGCTGAGCAGACGATGGGATCTGAGCAGAGCATGCAGACCAGCAGCGTCCTTTCTTTTTCATGTGCATCTTCCATAAGGGTTGGCCAAGAACGGCTGCAAACTAGACTTTTATGATGTATGCATACAAGGTAAAGGTGAGTTTGTCCAACAAAATCTGAGAGTCTCACAAAAGGCCTTCACCGAATCGGAAACATGAACGAACACCTAGTAGCTCCACAAGTTTGTCTTGAGTCATACAAGTTTGGATGTGTCCATGTTGCTTCAATCATGGCAGGCAGACTCACTGCCCTGTAGTGGAAAAGGTGCAACAAAGCAAACATGTCCAAGGAACTCTCGAGAATGTTGAGGGGGCACTTGCTGAAACCGCAGGAGAGTATCTGGATGACGTGGGGTCTCTCTCTCTCTCTCTCCCTTTTGTGATTCTCTTTTCGAGGTTTTTGGAGGTCGGAAGCGTGAAAGAGATGGAACATTGGCTCTCCCTGGTGTCTGGGTGTCCTCTCGGGGGAGTCTGAAAAAGCCGGCGTTGAGAGGCGTTCAACCAAAACGCCCTGAAAGGCTCCGCACGTGATGGTGGAGAAGTACAAGCTGCCACAGGCTATCCTGGATGACAGACAGAATCCGTGGTGGTTTGAGCATCCTCAGATTTGGGGCACATCACTGATGAATGCTGCTTCTCGTGGGTCCAAATCCAGTGCATTGTTCGTAATATCAGGTTGACAAAACAATTTCTTGTGCCTTCTCCTTAACGGTTCTACTCCTCTCCACCCCAACTGACAGTTTGACTCACACAGAGGCCATAGGATGATAAGAATCAAGAGGACTTCAAGATAAAAATCAGCCATGGCTCTGAATGGATGCACTTGTTCCTAGTAGCGAACATTGTTACTACTAGTAAGGCACTTGTTACTAGAAGCGATGCACTTGTTCCTAGTAGCGTGGCCCTTGTTACTGAATTCTCATGTCCTTCTCAGTTCTCTTCGACCACTGGACCGGTGTAAAACACCGATCCTTCAGGGTGCTGACGGCAGAGTGGATTTCGACGTCCGGGATGCTCAGACGTCTCAGAGACGAGTCCCAAACGTCCCAAGCGGATTGGGATCATTTGTGACCCATGCAACCAATCAACCCATCAACCTTACTGGGCCATGGCGCTCATGGCCACGAAACCCACAGGATGCTCAACGGACAAGGATGTTTTTTTGTTGGCCACGTGGCGCTCCGCCGCTCTGCTTTTGGCCATCGATGGCGCGTGACTGCAGATGTTGCCGTCGATGCCCAAGAAGATGACTCGATTCAGTCCTGGGGAGGCGGGCGTCCGGGGGGAGGCGTCCTTGTTTGTTCCTATTGCATATATATAGATGAGAATGGATAGTCGATCCACTGCAAGTACCAAGTAGAAAATTGTTCGATGATGTTTCGACTCAAAAGGCAATGTTTGGATCCTCAAAGAGGTTCCAAGAAGCGTTGGGTCTGACTCATCGGTTCCATCATGACCCTACGGCCCTTGGCTCCCGCCCCTTGGCTCTATCATGTTCCCGCTCCTTACGAGGTTGATTCATGAGTTGGAAGAGATGAGGGAGTCGTAGGAGCACACCAGCTGATGACCGAATCAATGCATGTTTCTCCAGTCCATGTTTGCATTTCAGACTACTATGCAGAACCCTTTAAGCCTGGATGATGTGCATCACCGGTCACTCATGTTGGTCCCTATCACAGGTTGGCAGAGCAGAGGCAACAACTAGCAACCGGGCGTCTTTTCAAGAGCCGACAGCCGACAACCATTCTGCAAGCAACACTCCCTTCTTCGCAGAAAAAGAAAGGCAAGGCAGAGCCCGATTCGATTTTCGGACTCAGAACCCGCCATGGCGACCGATCTCAAAAGCGTTCAGTATGCAGTGGACATCTCTTCGAGGATCGCCTACATCACCTTGGATCGGCCGGAGCGGCTAAATGCCATCGACGATCGCATGCCACAGGAGCCCAGAAGTTCTCCCCCACCATGAGTGTCTTTAGTGTTTGTTTCAAACTCGCTTAGCTCACTGAAAAACAACAACAAAACATGTCAGACGGCATCGTAACATTCAACATACCTCAACGGAAGCTTGCCACTTCAACATACCGCAGGTTTCTAGATTCTCAAACCAACGTGTTTGGGACTCACCCTTTCAGCTCCAACATATTTGGGACTTCCCTGGTCTTCCAGCTTCTCCAGGAGATTGCGAAGTGCGTGAGCCTTGCAAATGCTGATGACCGGGTCCATGTGATCGTCCTGTGCGGCAATGGACGTGCCTTTTGTGCTGGCTACGACTTGAAGGAGTATTCGGAAGGATCTGCTGTGGGACACTGGCCATGAATAGGGACGGATCGTTTGTTTGTGTGTTTTTTGCTCCGCTTTTTTTAGAGTTGGTTTCTTAAGCTTTGCAGGTAAGAAGGCGGAGACTCACTGCGTACAACCGTACAATGTTTATTTTTACTAAAGAGATGTTTTTGTTGTTTGTTATAGATACTCTTGCATAGTTGATTTAGTTTTGAGTGTTCTTTCAGCTCCAGGTTGAAATTCTTTGAAATTCTACTGAACCGACTCAGTAACTGAGGAGAAGCTTCACCTAATCAGCAAATGCCTTGGGATCCCACAGTGGATTTCCAATTCATGTGGGCAAACACGCAAGACTTCATGTGTTTTGTTCGCACATATTATGTTTCTTGTCTCTTTGTCCAAGTGCCATGTGTAGGCCGTTTTCCAGGTGTGAGAAACACCGCCAACCTTGGACATTTCATGGAATATCTTCTTTGACGTTCTGAAGAATCCTCTCGCAGAAGGCGCTGTTTTGTGTGACTTGCAGGTCGCTTTGGCATTCCTACAAGCCGACCATTTGTGACCTGTCGAAAATGAGGCGTTTCATGGCATCAGTGTTTCATGGCTTTGCTGAGGTAAGGTGCATGGCTTCGCTGTCGCAGGTGGTAGAGACTTGGCCAGACCTGGTTGTGGTGGTAAGAAGCAAAAGGAGGTTAATACAGTGGTTTTAGGGTAGATGGCACAAACCCAAAGATGGCTTGTTTATAATGGGGGTCCATATAAACACAACCTTGTGGGGATTGTGCCATCTACTCTGAAACCGCTGTAAGTGATCATCCGACTCCAACAGCTGATGCTGACCACGTCGTTCGCACAGGTCACAGTCCTAATCATAACCCTACCGAGGCGACATTGCGCTTTGCTGCGACGTGGTGATCATGGCGGAGGAGCGCGGAGGAGCACTGCTCCTGCCATGCATTTTCGAAGCATCCATTGTGCATCTGTATGCTATACATTCTGTATATCGATTTTCTTGTCGTTAATATAGCAAACTCCCATTGGAGTAAGTCAGTAGAGTCGATCCAATATCGTAATTTAGTCACACGCCTGCTGCTTTCAGCCAGTTCTTTGTGGTTGACATGCTCAGCTGACACGGGTTTCGCAGCTTTTCTCTCTCCCATCGACCGATCGACCGGCAGGACGCAAAAATTGGATACCCACCCGCTCGGGTTGCTTGTGCTAATGGAGCCAGCCTTGCGCCGGAAGGCTGGAAACGGAAAAACAAAGCATCACCAGGACGTCGGGTGATGTCCACCGACTTTCGCGATCTGAAAGCATGTTTACTCGAGGTACTGTATTTGAGCATGGTAGTGTGTCCATGGATCAAAAGAGTTGTGAACGGTTTGGTCAATTGCCTGCCATGTAGATTGGAGTGTTTTGGGATTTGGGGTGCTCCAACCCATTCGGCCTGACCACGTCCACGTGTTGCTTTGTTTGCGTGCTTCCAAGCAAAACACTACCACAAGACTGACTATTTCAGGGAGGATACAATTACAGTAATTCTGTTGACCAGGAGCCCGATTTATGCCCTGGCCAGAGTGGCAAAGAGCATTGGTTAAGGACGCAGGACCCAATGGTCAAGGAGTGTCAAGGATATTATTCTTCACAGCTTTTGTAGAACAAATTTGGAATGATTTGAATATGTTGCATTTTGAACCTGAGATTCAATTTGTTGTCTTAATGGCTCATCCAATACGAATACAGAGAACCTGGAGTAAACGTTAGCACGATGTTTCACCCTTTAGAACTTTAGAACGGTTTGTTTGTGACTTCCGTTGTTGACCCCTCACTGGCCCTGTATTTTGATGTATCTTGCCGCGTACATCACCCCTCACCCAGTTTCACTGACTTCTCATTTGGTTTCACAAAGGTTTGGGGCTGCCCCACCACCGCCATGTGGAGCTTCCGCTTGGGTCCGGAGAAGGCCAAGCGGATGCTCCTCACGGGGGACGCTCGACGAACGGCGGTTTTTGGAACGCCACGAGCAACGGATGAAAAATGAAGTCTCTCTTGGCATTCTTCAGAATTGGATGATCATATATAGTTGATTTGTACAATTTATCACCTATAACGAAATCAGGAGAAATGTTTATTGCGCCGTTTTTGCAAGTTGGATAGATGCTCCACGAAGCTCCGGAATGTGTTTTGGTTTGCGAAGCGCGACGGTTTGTCGCTTGGCTCTGACACGTTTGAGGCTTCCTGACGTCCTGTTCACAATCTATTGTGGCCCTGCTGATTTTTTTTTGCCCTGGAAGTCCCCCACTGAAGTGTCATATACTGTCATCTACTATCCGTCCAAAACCTGTATCCCAGAACACCCTAAACCCAGGATGTTTTGCACATTCTTACACCGTTGGGAACGGGGAACTGGGTCTGGGAACTCGTCGACCTGAATCTGTCAGCCAGTCTATTTACAGGAGGGCAGTGACTTATTTGGCGCCGAAACATGTCCTTAATGTACATATCAGTAGAGAAAACAATGCATGTACCACTCCAGCCCAAGCCAAGGATTTGATCACCGGGGCTGAAGCGGCAAAGATGGGTCTGGTGACTTGGTGATGGTTCAAGTTGGTCAACGATAGACCACGTTACTCAGATTACTCAACTTGCTCAAATTAATCAAAAAGTTGATATACTCGAGTTACTCAAGATCGCGCAGACACAAGGCCTTAGGGGTCAGTTTGAAGCCTTAGAGATACCGGCCAAATAAACATATTCAGTATTATATAGATTTATATTTACTATAGTATTATTAGATTTATTCAGACATATTTGTGTATATATATAGGTATATATATATATGTGTTACATTGGTGATTTCTTGCAAAGACTAACATCCGCTGCCACTAGCACCACTGATTTCAATTCAGGAATAGTGCCATGCAGCACCCATAGCATGGGTCAAGACCGTGTGAAGATCTCAAAACAGCAAGGCTTCGTAGGTACAAAAACACCCAGGATCAATCACCACGGTTTGTAGCTTGATGAATGGCAGCATGGTCCATGAACAGAATCTCGAAGTGACCATGCAGACTATGTAGTGTAGACCATGCTTTGTACTCTCAGGGATTTTCACATATGTCATTTCAATAAAAAACATCTTAAAACCATAGTTTGTACATGTTTGTACTGTTGTAATTTGAGTTTTGTCTTTGTGACATGGGATGTCTGAGAATGTCTCAGACCTCCTGACGCTTCCCATCAGAGGTCTTGCAAGCCGTCCCGGCTCTGGAGCCACTGGGCGAGGTCGACGGATGTTTTTCTGGAGTCGCTGAAGACGAAACCTTGACCGAATTCGAATTCGAGAGATTGCACAGTGATATCCAGTTGATTGGAGATCTTGCCAGGAATTGAAGTAAGAATCAGGAATTGAAGCAAGACCAGTTAATACACCATTCATTGAACATCTTGGTGGGATTCGGGGTAAATGGGAGGGTGAGAAGAGAACCATGACCCATCGACATAGGGATCAAATGCATAGCCCCGTCTCTAGAGGTCTCTTCCGAAATCGCATGCGCCATTGGTTGTTCCCATTCCATGGTAAATGAGTTCTGCCACGGTCCAGGTGTTAAACTTGGACAGGATACAGTAGTCACTTCAAACCCAGAACATGATATGTGTTTCCCATTGAATTCTTTCCTTGGACATCCTTGGACCAAAAGGGTGTGACTCCAGACGAACTGAGGTTGGATCAGAGGACTGAAGAGCTGGCGCAGCGGATGTCCAGCATTCCACGGAATCAGCTCATCATGCAGAAGATGGCCCCTCGGCGCGTTCCATGATCCGTGGCACACATTATCCTCGTACAGAATCGGTGTGTACACATTCCTTGCAGAAGCGAGGAGATGAAGGTTCGGGACAAATCGGATCAGGTCACCATGAAAAGGACCAACGTGAGCGATTTCAGGCACCACGCATCTTTCGAACATGAACCATGAAAACATGTCCAAACTCCTTGGCTTCAGGTCATAAACCAGTCCATCGAGGCCTCCATGGCGGCGACCCAACGCTTGGCGACCCTCTTCGATGGCGTGACGCGACACTCCCCCGAAGGCTCGGCGTTTCAAGCGATGTGTCGCAACGGCACCGTTTGAAAGTACATTTGGGATCATTTGGGTACATGGTTTTAACAAGTAGGAAAAGAATGTCGATTCAACTGAAAGCAATACATATATATATATACATATATATAAGTTTATTTGAAAACATATAATATATATATAAGTATATATAAATACACTATGGTGGATCCACAGCAATGAAAGGGCAAATCAGCTGTACCTGTAAAACATTAAAGCACCCATGTTATTCAATCTTCCCCTCTCACATCGCTTTCCACGGCACTTTCCAGCCCGGCATCCACAGATGCTGCCAGGCATGTGGTTCAAGGCCCACGCGGAGGCTCATGGCTTCCCCAGTGCTATACGCCTCCGCGACGGGGGCGCACCGGTGGCGCCACAGGTTGCGCGGCCCACGCTACCACGTGCGCGGCTGTAAAAGAGCGGAGCCGCACTCGGCAGTGCACAACTAGGAGCATTAACAAGGGCATCGCTACTAGTAACAAGGTGCATTACTACTAGGAACAAATCGCTACTAGTAACAAGAAGCTACTAGTTCAACTGTCGGGCTTTGGAACGATTTGGCAGTGCTCGGCATAGACGCCGGAGTGGGAGTCTCAATTGGTGCAACGATCAAATATTAAGGACGCATCAAAGAGAATACCTTTGTTGTTACCAATAGACAGATCATAAAGTCCAATAATCACCAAACAACACAGACTCACTTACTGTAAAAGTTTAAATCCATGAAACCCTGAGTTTGCGGGCCATTTCTGGTATGGGAACATTGACCAGAAACTAGACCTACTCCTCCTTACCGCTACAAGCATTCTTGTAGATGTTCCTTGACCCCTCACTAGTGGCCGCGAGCACCAGGCGCCTGACCCTATTGAGGCTGCCATGCCAGGTGCGCTGACCGGGGATGTGGAATTGCTGGATGTGCTTCGGGAGGGAGACGTATTTGTTTCGACCCATATTTTGGACATATCATGATCCCTCCGACGGCCGAAAATTATATAACTTATAACTCATGTCATGTGCTGTTTGCTGTGAGGGTGAGACAGCGGTTTGAGTCTCAAATGATTTAATGGTCGCTTGAGTGAAGTTTTGTATTGTATGAGGAGAAGATTTATTGGCAGACAGGCATGGACATTGGACTTAAGCCGCCAGGCATGGTGCCTTGCTTGGTGTCCTTGCGGAGAAAGGCTGGAGGCTAAGCATGAGCAGCATGAGCCGCATATTCACTCGAGAAACATCTTGAAGATGTATAGACTTTTCTGGATCGACCGGCATCACAGTCCACACAGGTCTATATCTTGTGAACCTAACATCGCTACTACTGCAATGATCTCAATTTGATATATCTATGAAGATGGCAGATCAAAGGACTCCCGATGAGTTTACGAGTAGTAATAAAAATTTGCCGGCACGTGCTGCTGAACCACTGAGGTCAGGAACAAAGCTTTCCTTGACCTTTGGTGACCAGGAGAACGAATTAAATTCATTTAAATTCATTCAGGGCGCGCAAGCTGATCCAACAGTCTTATCAGCAAGGGGAGCCTTCAGTACCCCAGTTGTACCAAGTGGTGCCATAAGTCGGACCTCCCAAAAGACCAAACAAGAAGTCTAGCTGGAGGATTTGCTCCCTAGCCAGTCCTGATGCAGCAATGGCCCTAGCCAGTCCTAGATGTGCTATTTATCATTATTTATCCAGATGTGCTTTTGGTATAGTTCCATGCTTCCGGTGGAGTGAATTCCGTGGTTCTCATTGGGTCCTAGCCATCGTGACCTGCAGGAGGATGTAGCGACATGGGGCCGCTTGGAGTGGCGTTGAAAAGAGTACGGCTGCTGGAAAGGGACCTATGGAACTTGGAATCAGTGCAGTTTCCCAGCAAAGGTGTTCGGTCGCAGCCACCAGTAACTATCTCCAGCAAGATCCATTCACTAGATGGACACAGGGGTCTCTCATCAGGTTTATAAACCGGTCGCTGGTATATGGCTACTTTTTTGGGGATTCAGCAGTCGCAGCAATGATACTTGCAACCCATCGCATGCATCACAGAGCCATTGGCCATTGGTGACAGACCGCTGTGATTGCTCAAGAGCATTCGTGTGGGCTACAGGAAGGCGGTCGTTGCTACCAGAAGTGCAGGTCCCACGATAGTTTGATGGACCCTATCAATCAAGAACCTTGTGACAGGGTATGAAGAAGGGTGGCGGTTGAATGAGCCTACTGTATCTTTGTGAACTGACTGATATTTTTTCGAGTGAGTTTAAGCCACCAACCAGTTGTTGAAGCCCACTGAACTTCAGACCCAGTCTTGGCAGGACAGTTTTCGTGGATGAGAGAAGCTGAGCCCTAATTCGCTTCTTGCTCGGCTGAGTGTGGAATTTGGCTGGCGCTCATGTCTGTGGACTTGTTCAAATTTGGTAGCCTTTGAAACCAACATTTAGCTAATGACCCAAAAATGGCCTAGTATTTGTGTTCTCCTGGCATTTGACCATAAGGGTTGGCCGTAAACCCCCGGAAACATGCGATGAGCGACCGTTGAAAAATCTGAACTGGTTTCGACCGCCTGGACACTCGACCGATGCCGGAGTTCGGACCTTTTTGGGATGAGATTCCCTCATCTCTTGGAGTCGTGCAGAAAGCACTATTTTACAATTTGCATGCGTTTAATCGATTCGCTCTTTCTCACAGACGCCCTCCAGCGAATTTAAGCCCCATACAAATATATTTGTGTTTGAATCGATGTTCCATCCACAACATCCTGACAGTGCCGTTTCATTTCTCCAACCATCAAGCCATACCTCTTTGCTCAACAGTTAGTGGCTTTGGCGCCATCGATGCCGATGACGAATGTTCCCCGACGAGATGTCGCTGGTCTCTGGTTACCCTAAGAATCTGGGCCTCAAGTGGAAAGGGCTTGGTTCAGGTCGTCCGACCCCCGTGAAGAAGGACGAGGTCCAAGGATTCTGAGAGTCCCAGGGTCCCTTAGCCACTTGCCCAGATCGTTATGTCTTGGACATTTTGGACTTTGCCAAGTTTGTCTAGTAGCTAGAAGCTACTAGTAGCAAGTGCATCACTACTAGTAACAAGGTGCATCGCTACGAGTAGCAAGAAGCTTGCATTTTTCGAGGCTTCACTTTTCACTGGGACGTCTCTGAGACAGAGACACCGATGCATCGTTGTGGCTGATCAACTCGTCCTGTGAGGGCGGCGGAGTGGCACACAACAGAAAACAAGAAGAGACGGTTCGGATGGACTTGGACCAATTCTGCAAATGGTGATGGGTCAATGTGATGGATAAACATCATACGGGAATCAAGTTGGTTGAAACCAGGTGTGTTGGAAGAATTGGCAGCTGTTCTCGCGGAAATGTTTGGTTTTGAGCCAGTCGAACGTTGGTCCGTAGCATTGCAACTGGACCTTCTCAAGACTAGGACTCTGTTGGAGTCAGGAAAGAAATTCCATAAAGGGCAATAGGACTAGTGGTTCGCCATTTTATCAGATCGCCAGTGATTGGGGAACCTTCTCCCTTTTGTTTCGAAACAAACTGATCTAGATGTGGAAGAACAAGTCACTGGCTCCGCCGCGAAAGGCGACCGGATGACGAGGACCTGGAAACAGCCATTGTGGAACTTGGAGGTGCCAGACTCGCCCCAAAGCCCAGTCCTACGGAGTCCTATGGAGTCCTACATCCTGCGGTGCTTCCTTTGTGGGTGAAGGATTCAACGTGGACGTGAACATTTCTGGACTCGGGCCATCGAGCTCATGTGAACGTTCTGGAGCTTTGTTCGTGATGTTGATGCAGTCGCACTTGAATTCAACGCACATGGTTCAAGCCGTGCGAAGCCGCGTTTGCCATGCTGTATCATGTTGCCACAGTGCTGAAAGTTTCTTGCCATGCCACATAGTCATTGGTCCCTCCATCAACTCTGGAGTTTCTCTTCCACATGCCAAACAAGACACACAGAAAAAGAAAAGAATAACACATCAGCATCTTGAGTTGGTGAACAAAGGCATCCCCTGTTTCAGAGGTGAAGGCGTTTTCTTTCATCCGTACCTGATTAGAGCGAGCGGTTTCATCCTTCCGGTCAGAGCCTTTGGGCCCCATTTTCGGTGGCCCGATGTGCACGCCATGGAGATCTGGGGCTCGGCAAGTTCCCACATAGGTTTGGCGGGTTCCCGCTGGGGTTCGGCAAGCTGGGCGATCGATGTGGGTGGCTTGGAGACTTTGGGTGGCTCGTTTTCAGATGCAGCAGAGTATGAATAGGATTTAATGGAACGAGGAGGATATTGCGATTTATGCAGAGATGATGATGGAAGGATAGGAGTTGGATGGACAATATGGAGATGTCACGAAAGGTAGCTTGAGCTACCTGAGTTCTCCTTGCTTTAGCAAAAATGTATTACAATCAGGAGTTGGGATTGTGCATTGAGTTTGGTCCTGTAAGAGTTGATTCTGTTCGTCGGGGGGGGGGGTGAAAGAGTGACTAGGGCGTACACGGTAGAGGTGCAGACCGCTAGTGTCTTTTATGCGCAGAGTCTTATCCTCTTGATCTTTGAGCCTTGAAGCAGTCAAGCATGGACACACTATATCAGCTGTTGGAGTGGAACCCTGTACAGGTAGGCTCTACTTTTCAGCAGGCACAAGATTCATGTCCACTTCTAGCTGATTGCGTATGTCGCATACTCTTTTTCTACTGCAAGGCTAAATCAGTCCAGCTAGCTCTGACAACTTAAAAGAAAACTACGGTGCCATGTACTTACCTAATCCTGTGTGTTTCACACTTCAGAGAAGGTAATCTCATAGCTACTAAATACAGTGAGGGAGCAATAGCTGACTCACCTCAAGTACAAAATCAAAATGATAATGTACCTCGGCTGGAGACTGTACTTTTCGCAGGCGGAGATACCATGTACCGGCGCTCACTAGCTCTTTATGGCCTGAGCTAAATCAAACTAAAAGGGAAAGCGGCTTTTTCTCTACAGAGACCTATAAAAGAATCAAACGACACTCGCGTAACAAAAAACTAAAAATTCAAGACCGCACAAATTGCAATGAATTAAGATGCCTTGCAAAATGCAAGGAGCGTACGGTCCGAGGAATAATCTTCTCGTGACGTGGTCTCGACCGCTTTCATTCACAGACAAAATAAACTGCATCAAAAGGACTCTCTTTCACATTCACATCAAAACACAAGAAGGAGATACCGGCAAATGTATGTACAAAAATCTTGCACTACAATTGCAAATCATGAAATGACTTAATCATCAACCATGACTGGTTGTCCATTAGAGGTCACTTCATAAGAGCGGTGGTGATAGATATCATCAGTTCTGTAAAACTGTCCATACCTATCTACATGCTAAAGCATATAAACCTGGAATGCAGGAGTATCTTCTTTGATAAAAAGTTTCTCCTCATTGCAAACCAGAATTTATTAAAACTTCAGCCTGGCAACTTAAAGTCAAGCCTGGAAGCAAAGTATCAACTGTAACCAGAAGTCTCTTCACTTCCTAGCCATCATTTAAATCTCAGCCTTCGCTCAGGAATTATGCCGCTGCAAACGATGAAGTTGCTTGATCAGAAGTTGGCGGCCTTCCTTTCTTTCTATTCTGCTTCTGTCTCTCCTTCCTCCGCACGTTCGCCTCATGAAGCGTTGCTCCCATGCGATACTGTCTTCTGTCTCCAGATGAAAAGGAAGCTGGTCTGAGTGAAATAAACATTGGACCATGACTGTCCTCGTCAGTGGGCCTTGAGCACATAACCTCTGTGTCAATCATAGCAAAGTTCTCTGAAAAATTACAGATGAACTCCTTCGTGCTCACTGTGGAATTTTCATATTCCTCTTCACTCATTGAATGACCCCATTCAACAATGGTAGACAAACATGTATCGCCAAGCTGTGATCCTTGGTATTCTTCTTTTTCAACAGTAGAAAATTCTTCCCAGACTTTATCAAAGTAAACTTCACACTTCTTGAGGACCTGTGAAGTTGAACTGTAAAATGTTCTGGGAATAGGTGCTTTGATACCAGGATCTGCTTTGACACGAGCTTCTGAAAACCTGCGGATCCAATGCTGCATGGTGCTGTAATAGTAGTTAGCCATTGGCTGCCTTTTGTACCCAGACATTCTGTAGGCCAAACTATTTGCATCACCAGAAATGATGTCCACCTCATAGACAAAACACTCGTAAAGCATCAATGCTGTCTGTTCTCCTGTCAGTAGGTGGGCATCCACAGCACGGTGTGTATCAACATGATAATTACAGACTCTGATGGTATGCATGTTCGCTCGAGTAAGTGGAACACGCTTGTCCTCAGGACCATAGTCATCAAATTCAAAGTCTGCATCCTTGAAATCTTGACGAGGCCTTGTTTCTCCAAAACAAATCTCGTAGATAGCCCAAGTTACATCACGCTGTTCACAGTGACCAAGTTCTTGATCATGTCCAGCAATGATCTTGACATATCCACCTGGTGCCAATCTAGCCATCACTGCAAGATTCTCCCAATCATTGAAACAAACTGTCCAATTCTTTTGCTCAATAAATTCCTTGGCAGGAACAAGAAGACGAGCTTCCTGGAGAATCACGACATGTGCACGTAAAAAGAAGAGCATGTTGAAGAAAAGGTTGTTCTCAAATTGCTCATTCTGAAGTGACATGGCGCTCTGTTTGCGTGGCCTCATTGCACTATCAAGTCCTTGGAGAAACCTTGGTGTGGTGTACTTCTGACCACGAACCATGTTGCCATAGTTCCAGGATAAAAATGTCAAGGACTCTGAGCTGGCCAATAAGTTAGTTCCATATGGTTCTTCTATTCTTCCCTTGAGGAACCTTCTGCACAGCTCTTCATAGAAGGTGACAAAGTCCCAACTGGGTCCCTTGGGACCATAGGATTCCAGTTCATTCTTGAGTTCCTTTTTCGTATCCTCCAATTCTTCTCGAGCATGACCTGCCCTTTCAAGGGCCTTTGGATCGACCTGATACCTGCCATCCAAATAAATGATGCGGTCATCATTGATGAAGAATCTCTTCAAATCATGCTCTGGTTCATGTTCATAACAATCAGGTGGAGGTACTGGACAGATATTGCGAATGGATCGAACAAAATCATTCTCGTTGATCCTTGACTGATAATGAGGATGGGAAATCTCACCTTTTCTGAAACAAACATGATTCAGCAATCTTGCATGAGTTTCCCTGAAGCATAGTTGATAAAAGCCAATACCTGGATCTCCTGTAAGCTCTCCAAGCAACTTTAAAGGTGAAGTGTGCAACTCATAGGTATTGTCAACTTTTGTTGTATCCTTTTCAACAACTACTTCAGATGGAAAAGATTCCTGGATTTCAGCCTCCAATTTCTTCTCTCCATCATCCTCTCTGACCTCTTTTATTTTCTCCACCGCCTCTTTCTTCTCTTCCATGGTTGCATCATCCTGAACTTCTTCATGAAAATGAGGATCAGGAATCTTATTCAGGCGGCTCTTCTTAGATTTCCGCTGACCTGAAGTATCATCAAGGTTAGCATCCATCTCACCTGATGGTAAGTGCGATGCAGTCGAGTCCTCACCTATCTCTCTTGACAGAAAGTGTGGTGTTGACTCTTCCTTGGCTTCCTCCTGGTCAACTTCCATCTTTGGTTCCTCTGAAGGAAAAACACCTGCATCTTCATCAAATATTTCTTCTTCCTTTCCAGGTTCAACTGCAGGATCTTCTTCAGGAACTTCCTCTTCCATATTCTCATCTTCTAGAAGTGTTCTACTTCCAGTATAGACTTCACCAGTGATAGTGGAGACTCTTGTATAAGGAGGAACTTCTTCACCTGCTTCAAAAGCTTGTTCTGCAACATCCTTGGTGAGCAAGTCCTCTACAAGATTTTCTCCCTCGGTTCTTGGAAGAGGTCCTGAGGTCTCATAAAAATCTGTCCTCTCTGAACTGAAAGCTTCTGTCGCCTTCTCATTGTCCTTTTGATCCCTGAACAGGTGAGTAATCTTCACAGCTTCTCCCTGTAGCACCTGATCACCTCCTCTATACTTGTCGACAATGGAGCGCCATACTGGAACATCATCATCATCAAAATCAAGCTCCATATCATCTGCCAACAGGTATGAGATGTTTTGAGCTGCCTGTTCTTCTTCTTCATCACGTTCCTTGGCAAGCTCCTCATCCTTCTGGATCTTGAAGATACCCTTCAGGATGTCTTGTAGTACCTTTAAGTTCAGCTTCGATGATGGCTCATACGTCCCTGAACTTACAGGCTCAACTACAACACGAGAGCAAGAAATCGCCTCCAAAAACTTGGAATTGTATTGGCGTTCAAACTCTTCCTTCTTGATCATCTCATACAAGGGATCAGAAACTGCAACACGCGCCTGAACATACTCACGAAGTTGATAGCATGCATGTTGCACAAATCTACTGTTGGAGTTGTGAAGAAAACTCTCTAAATGATTCCTGTCACGGTCAATCAAATACCACACAATCCTTGCAGAAAAACGGAATTTCTTGAAGTTCATAGCAAAATGTGTATGATACTTCTCTGGATTCCTTTCTGCTTGTAAGGCGGCCTCTGAAGTCTTGTAAGCTGGGAGATTTGTGTCTGGATCCAAAATCATAAACTCTTCCCACAAGATCGAGTGGTCAAGAACCCACTTGGGAAGCACCTTGATGAAAAAGTCACAAACAAGTTCTGACACAAGGTGCATGACACGACCAATCTCTTCCTCCTGCTTGAAGCGATAGTGCAATTTGGCAAACAAAGGATTGTTGAATGCTTCCTCCACTGTGTTGCCAAAATTATCCCACTGAGGTTCTGGAATACCAAAGTTCCAACCCAGCAATTTGGGATCTCTGCACATATCCAAGAAGCTTGAAAGCTCTACAGAAGCAATGCCATGGTCTGTCAGAATTTCAGCCCAGCGGCGTCCATTCTCCCAAGCACGGATGAAGAAAAACTGTTGGTATCCAGTTTGTGCCAACTCCATCCACTGAGAAATTCCGGGTTCAAAACTCGGTGCATACGTCTTGGGGTCTTCCTCTGTTCCATAAACACTTGGACGTAGCAACTTGTATCTTCTACAAAATATTCTCTCTGGTGCCTTGTCAACCTGTCCCAATCCCTCACAAGGATCACGTCTTCTCCAGTGCTCTGGAGTACACGTG